TCATCGGATTGTATGCTTAACAGTAAGAACGAAATGTTGATATACATGCAAACTCTAGGTATATCCATTCTAGACATGGGCAGTTGATACGAATATCTCCAATAGAATGCTAGATATTGTGATAGTAGTAGCACAGACTGATTGAGGCGTCAGGCGTACGAAATGCAGGGCAATATATCCGAGGAGCAACTGTTGTTCCAGTGACCACAACAGTAGCAGCCTGTGCATACATGTACACAGCAGAAAATTACTTCAATTACTGTAATATTCACAGTCATTAAATGTCTGACTCATCAGCCCAGTCAACTGCTGGCGATGCATTATAGTGCAAACAACACAACGCAGGGCTGCTGGTCTCCACAAACAGCTGACTATCCGCAAATATATACACCCCCTTTACATGCCTGCTTTATGCCAAGCGATTTCACCGTTGCAGTAGAAGCATGGGCTATTGGGCGGAGTCTTAGATCGGTATCATGGCATTTTCTGCCTTTCATTCAATCAAAAAATTCAATACCGAAGAGGCCGTCATCGAATTGGTCAGAAACCCACATATAATTTTACTTTAAAATTTTTTTGATATCATTTTAATATTATATGTGAGCCTGGATAGCTCAATCGGTATAGCGACTGGCTACGGGCTGGACGGCCGAGGGGTCAGATTTCGAGTCCCAGTAAGGTCCACACCGCTTCTGGCTCTTTCCGCGGTGGTCAAGCGGCCGGGGAGTGAAGCTTTACCACTTTTCTCCAACTACTGCAGAGATATATAACTTCCACTCTCCCATACGTCTTCATGGCAGTGTTCCATTAGTTAAGCACAGGGACAACTTTATTTTTTTGCTTGTAGTATTATTTAATGCTACTTTCTGAGGTAAGCAGTGCAAGAAAATTCGATTTTGACGGATTTACATGCTTTCAGCACCATTGAATAAGAAAGTGTAGTATAAGGTGAAAGTATTGTCATCTTCCAAGAAGGGATCTCGTGACTTGACGCATTTCGCCATGGTAAGTCCATCTGCTTGTGAGAACAACTGGCTTTAGTCGTGCCGTCTGTATGTCTCTTTGAAAGCACTGTGACGTAATATGACCATCTGCTAAGGAACGTTTCCGTAAATACATTCCCAAGTTGATGCAGTCAACTGTAGAACCTCGGTTCCTTAATAGCCAACGTTTCGGTAAGCATGTTTTCGTGATAACAAGGATTTCTATTGATACGAGCTAGCCTGTATAAGGAGCCATGCACCATCTTCAGAGCATTCATTCGTGAGACAGATGTCCTCCATGGCAGTGAGAGATTCTTCATAGAGCATTCGTCAGACAAGAGTCTTAATTCATTCAGAAGGAGTTCAGTGTACCAGCTGTTATAAGCAACTGTAATTGTAGAAAAGTGCCAGTAAACCCAACCATCAAATCCAGAACCCGTCACGCTAACCCCTTACACGTGACAGTATGTATGTATTACGAATGGATGAATGTGCGCCTCGCTACCGCCTGAGCGCTTGGACGAATTATATTCTCAAGTCTATCCGGTAGAGATAGGTGCCTGGTAAATAAGAACGTTCCACCCCAAAACATGGGGCTTCAAGTAGACCCTCATAATAAGGAGGCGATTTTATAGAAAAAACGGCTCCACCACGCAGGATTAAATTTCATTAATTTACGGAGACCACCGCCCAACCTGCAAAGATTGTATTGTAACGTATGTAGCTGTTGCTATGGAACGATCACGAGAAGCAACATGTGTTGCTTAGTAACGGTAGATAAACATATCAACAATACTCGGACTATCGCTAGGCAGCTGCTCGGTAAACGGGTTCCCGCGACAACGGTTGAGGTGTTGTTGGACTATAACAATGGAAACGGTATTTTCTATGTGGTCCGTGCCGAGATGTTGTAAGCAATAATATTTTGAAGCAATGAAGCAGTTGCTGGTTGGATTTGTCAGCAGTTCAGCTGAATGAAGTGACGTGAAGTAGTTGGTTAATTATTGAGAGAGTTCAATAGTCAATTGTCAGTTGTCAGTTGGAAGTGAGCCCCTGCAGATAAGACTAAGAGGTTGGCGTGAAATGGCCAGAAACCTGGGATCTAGATAGTTGAGTCGGCAATCGACAAAATTTCTGCACGGGCGAATGTTACAAAAGGACCTGAGTGTGGAAAGCTGAAGAATCTCCATTGTGTTGGAAGGAGTTGCAGGAAGCGGCTCGTGGAGACAGTAATAGACTGAGAAAATAGTCTGTGAATGTTGGTGGTATTTAAAATGTAGTTCTGAGTGGTGTATACAAGTGGTCAGTGAATCCAATATCCAGTCCATGCCCCGTCTATAATCACACACCCCTAAATCGTGACAGTATCTTCAGGAAATGGATGTAGACGCACTAGAGATCCAAACTCTTACATAACTCATACATATCCTAGATTGTACAGGTAAAGGCGAACAATGCTCTACCGAACCACAATCAGTTTCTTTTGCGAGATAATATTGTCTAGGTAATTCGTATATGTGAAAATATTATGAAAGTATTATGTAAATATTATGCTAGTTCTCAAAATTGGTCTTTTTCTTTCAAATATTCGATCAGAATTCTTTACGAATTTCTGATCATTAAATACAGTACGAAGATTTTAGCCTCAGTCGCTTTCTTTTAATTCGCTTAGTGGGGATGGGTTCCAACTGGGTCAATTCGGCACGGCGGCCACTGATTGGCCTATTGTAGTCTGCCCCGGGTGATTATGATGATGGAGAATTTGGTGGAATGAAAATTAATAGGGGAAACCGAAGTACTCGGAGGAAACCCGCCCCAGAGCCATTTCGTCCACCACAAATCCCCCTTGACCAGACCCGGGATCGAACTCGGGCCCCCGCGGTGGGAAGCCAGCGACTAACCGCTTTAGCTAAGGCGCGGCCTACTAGCCTCAGTCACTTCCTCTCAAAGAAATGAAATTTGGAATTTGGTTTATGTCTTTCATTAGAAAATTTCCTCTCCGGATCTCCTGAAAATATCTCACTGATTACAGAATTGTTCGTTGCGTTCTCATGAGGATATCAAGAAGGAAAGAATATTATATCCTACATTAGTGAGCGCGTATTTATATCCATGTGCCACACAGGAGAAAAAAATACTGAGGAGCTGTCATTAAATCTTCCATCTGAGAGTCAGAGAATTTCCGTCTTTCTTTCAGCTTATAGCTCACATTTTCCTTGTGCACAAGGCAACAAGAGCGAAGCAGAAGCCACTCTCCGCTTCGCACCATCCGCCGTGACTGCATCCAGCGAGAGCAAATTGAAACGTCATGCAACATAAAATGTAACTCTGAAGAAGCTGAGATGACGCATGCGCCTTATTAGTTTCCCTAAACTTGTAACTTACGGTCCAGATCATAGACACTAACGAATCTTGGTATTTACATCACACCAATTAGTGTTAATCTTAGAAAACAAAGTTGCCCGGAAATATCATTGCGACTAGATAACTGAAAAAAGCGTCCAGGGCCCAACAAGGGGGCTGTAGAACCAATTAATTATTATAATTTGTCACACTTACACTTAACATAGTCGGTAGAGCGACTGGCTATGGGCTGAACGACGGAGGGGTCGGAGTTCGAGTCCTGGTAGGTTCAAGAATTTTCTACACGTCGTCCAGACCGGCTCTGAGTACCATTCAGCCTCCTATCCAATGGGTACCGGGGGGCTCTTTCTCCGGGAGTAAAGCGGCCGTGGCGTGAAGCTGACCACTCACCTCTAACTATTGTCGAGATGAAGAAAATATGGATCTATACAACCATTCCCCCATACGCCTTCATGGCGTAGAGCTTAATTTGTTAAGTGCAGGAACATCTTTACCTTTTACACTTCTTCATATTGCTGAAGGTTTATGTTTATATTTACATTGTTCAGGTTTCAGGTGAATGTGCAAGAATTACGAGATGCCGAAACTAACACAAGCAGTATAAATACAGGCAATAAGAACATGCAAGTGTCACTAGCCTGTATCCTTTGGTAACGGAGAATTTGGTTACAAGCCGACAAATTCGTCCTAGTACGTGTGAACTTCGGCCGGTCACGGTAGCCGAGCGGTCTAAGGCATGTACTGTCTTCGCTCGCTCGGAAACCGGGATCGTGGGTTCGAATCCCACTCAGGGCATGGATGTTTAGTTTGTGTGTGTGCGTTTTTCCGTGCTTGTGTACAGGTAGAGGCCTTGCGACGAGCTGATCACCCGCCCAAGGAGTCCTACCGAACATGTAAGATCTAGAAAAGCCGAAGTGAACGGAGAAGTTCATGGAGGTAGGTCTAGGCCCACTGGGGCTATAGTGCCAAGGGGAAAAAACTTTTTCTGTCAGATGCGTTACCCCAAAATATTATTCCATACTTCATTATAGAGTGAAAGTAGGCAAAATAAACTGATTTCAGTGTATCAGTGTTGCTGACATACGTGTATAACAAAGCTCTTACTGCATAACATGCCCCACTTAACTTCGGAACCAGCTGATCGGTATGGTATTTCCAGTTTAAGTGGTTATCAATTTGTAAGCCAAGGAATTTTGTGTGTGCTGTAAACTGACGTGTTTGTATGCCTTAAAATTTGAGGTAGCCTAAAATTGGTACAGGCCGGTCACGGTAGCCGAGCGGTCTAAGGCGTGCACTGTCTTCGCTCGCTAGGAAGCCGGGATCGTGGGTTCGAATCTCACTCAGGGCATGGATGTTTGTGTGCGTTTTTCTATGTTTGTCTACAGGTAGAGGCCTTGCGACGAGCTGATCACTCGCCCAAGGAGTCCTACCGAATGTGTAAGATCTAGAAAAACCGAAGTGAACGGAGTTCATGGAGGTAGGCCTAGGCCCACTGGGGCTGTAGTGCCAAGGAAAAAAAAATGGTACAGATCTCAGAAGTACGTTAATGAATTAGCGCAAATGACACCGTTTGTTCTGCCTAATGATACGGCTACTGCAATGGGTTATGGTAATGTAATCCCTTCATTTTAACACAATTGTTTCTGGTTCCAGATCTCGAAGACCTGTACTTCCGGTGCACCAATAACACTGTCTACGTCCTGGACACGGCATATAACTGTGGGGTAAGTTACGTCAACGGTATGGCAAGGATCGAATGCCCTACACTTAGGAGTATGGCCTGATAGCGCTTCGACCCAGTCTCTCACTATGCACAGTTAGTCACAAAACTATATACATAGAAATAGAGAGCTTCCGGTGTAACTCATGGCGTCTGTTTTCTTTCTTTTAACTGTTTCCCTTTGTACATTTTTTATTCTTAATGGGGTGAGACTGAGTCAATTTGGTACTTCGGCCGCTATTGGCCTACTGTACCAGCCCCAGGTAATAGACAATGCTGATTGTGGAGCAATTGGTGGAATGAGGATTGGCAGAGGGAACCGAAGTACTCGGAGAAAGCCTGCCCCAGCGCTACATTGTTCACCACAAATCCCACATGATCAGACCGGGGCTCGAACCCGGGCCGCCTTAGCTATGGCACGGCCCCTTCTGTTTGTGTAAGTTTGATACCTTGTATTTAGAGCTAACAATCATAGTACTTGGTTGTCTTATCCAGTGCAACATTACTGGGCTTCTTCTCCAAGGACTGAGCTCTATACCACACCACAATTGGGCTCTTTGTAATCTTGTAAATGGCAGCATATAATTAGGCGCTTCCACATAATGAGGTGGCACTGCTGGCTACTTCTAAAGCACGGACACCAAGAGGAGGATGGCAGTATCGCGTACATTTCTTGGTATTATATACTTCTGTCATTTTTACATCAGTTTTTAGGTAAATAATGTTCATATATTTGTGCTCTAAATGTTTGCCCCATAATTTTCATATATTGCAACGAATCAATTTTTCCGTTTGTCGAATCTTTTCAGTTACTTCGTGAGGAATTCTGTCACTTCTTTCGTCTCTTTACTGTTCCTATTACAGATGTTGTTGTTTATGGAACTTACTTTCAAATTTTGTTTAATTCCAGACATCTGTGAGGAAGTCAAAGATGTTTAGTTCCAAACATCTGTGAGGACGTCACAGACTTAATGGATATTTCAGAGACGAAAGTTGAAATGTGCAGTATAAGGTCAATAGAAGTTCTCTTCAGCATTTGTCGTTCTAGGTCAACTGAATGTCTGTGTAGCCCGTAGTGTTGGTGGAAGTGTGCAATTTTCTGAAACATAACTGGCGAAGAAAGACTCACGAGATATAATATCACAACGACTTACATTCTTTTCCCATTCTGGCTGCGAAGTAGAGGAGCTATTTACTCAGTGATATTAAATGCTGCCCCGCAACTTTACTTTTTAATTGTTCGCTATATGCATTACAACTGAGGTGCGAAGTGTTTAGGTGGGTAAAGCGGTAGAACAATACATTTAGGAACCTAAAATAGTGCGATTTTTGGTCTTCCTTAAAGGAAATAAATCGATGTATTAGGTTGTCATGTGTGTGTGCATATATATATATAAATCACTGTTTCATTTTTTTAACCATTGATCGATTTCCACAAAATTTAATATGGACGTTATATTGTTAGAGGCAAAACAGATATTATAACTTTTAACCTCATACAATCGGTGATAACAGCACGGAGAACACACAACTTCTGACACGAAAATGACTACATCTCTTTATCTAGGATCGTCAGTGTAGGACTAGCAACAGATCTTCAGAAAATATGGAACTTTGCTTTAGATTATTTTTTTGTAGAAAGTGAAAGAGCCTAATGGCCGGTGCATTAAATCAATAATTAGCTTTCCTTCTGACGGCGATAATTAAAATATTCTTTACAAGTCAAAAGTCACAAATACTACGAAAGTGCGAAGATTGGTTTTATATCCAACAAATTTTATTTAGTACGACAAAATCTGAATTTCCGTTACACATTCTGT